CTAATTTTCTAAGTAAATAAGCATACACTGAATCAAACCATGTAAGTCACCAAGAAGCTTCCCAACGAAATATGATTAGAGCCTGATTTTTTTTTTTTACCTCAAAAAGATAATCTTTTCCAACACTGGAAATTAAAAAAGGTAAAAATGTACTAGCTTTTATTTTAATATCTTTGTAACTCTCACTTTTCTCAGACCACAATGAGGGAAACCACTTTATCAGTTTCTGTTTAAGAAGTCTGACATAAAGCTCTCTGACCAACTGCTAACAATCCTTGCTGACACCTGTGCACAGACAGTGGCAAGTACACGGGCATGCATGGCACATGCAGCAGCCTAACACTGCATAGATAAGTTTGCAAAGCAACGGAAAACAGGACTAGGAAAGGTAGCATGTTTATACAGTTTTAAAATAGCTAAAAAGTTGAAGATCTGTATTCAAATCCAGTTCTGTCAGCTCTATGCAATAGAATACTAATAAAAAAATCCATGTTCACTCTTATACATAGATTATATTAATTTCATTTTTCACAATGACATAAGCATTAAAAAATGTATGGAGCTTATCAAGGAAAAATAAGTTAAAATGAGTAAAGTGTCAGATTTGTACTACTCTCTAAACTCTGTAAACTCTCTCTTTACTCTGTAAACTCTCACAAGAGGATCTCTCTCAGACAATAATTTTCTAAAAATGAAAAACAGAGACTCTTCCACCATGCCAGGGCAAGGGAAAAGTATTTATTTATTTATTTAACTAATAGATATTTAACAGCAGATTCACATTAACTCCTGCAACAGTTTCAAGTGGGAGCTAAGTGAACACCACAAGTGATGTATATTTTTAAGCCTCTCTCATAAAAGCCACTGAGGTTAGTGCTCCTTTGAGCACGGATGACTGAACTAGACTCCCTCTGGAGCTCAGCAATTCTTCTCCTTAACTGACCTAGGCAACTGTTGTTTAACAATACACAAGGCACTCCCTCCTCACCAAAGACTTACTTTTCATGTTTAGCTTTTAATGTTTTTCATCAGCTTTGTCATCAGCAACTCTGAGTAAAAGCCTCAAACACTGGCCTCCTGCACTGTGGTACAGATGGAACTTAAGCCTTCCAGGCCATCTCACTGACATCACATCTTGACTCAGAGTCCAAATATAAGCAGATTCTAGTTTAATAAAGCAACAGTTCCCATTATGCTGAGCTCCTAGGTTTGATTAAAGAAGTAGGAATAAAATGCTTTTGTGAATTAAGATGTTTTTCTAGCTAACACCTGTTTGGGACCTCTTGCAATCTTGCCAGTTGACATGTTCGAAAAGAATGTTTTCTGCGGGTCATAACGGGCAAGTAAAAACCAAACCAAACCAAACAACGTCCTACCTCCCCCTCCTTCCCCAGCAGCCCAAGGCATGCTCATCCTTTGAATCAGCGAGCAGCTGAGCTGACATGTGGTTCACTTGCCAGTTTCTGAAACTGCAGTACTGGGGAACTCTAGGATTTTGATATTCAAACTCTGTATTTGAACCGCCAACATTTAACCTCACATTCCAGGGCAGGGTTGGGCTCAGAGCCCAGGACATTCCAAAAAGCATTCCAACCAGCAAGGCCCTGGAGGTAGCCCCACAGTGAGTACATCCACGCTAAAGGCTAGTAAAAATATCTCTGTGTTCCCATTCAGGTTTCTAGTAATCAGAGAACATGTAGGCTAAAGGGAGGGCAAGCTACAGTTCTGTCAACAACCACAGACCATACTTTGGCAGGTATCATTACAAATACTTTCTGCAGCATCAATATCAAGTAAAAAATAAAACTGCTTTTTTGTTCACTGACAGTGGCCCTGGGAAAGAAGAAACCAGTTGCGTCACTGAGTTCCATACGATTAATAGTGAAACATTTTCACTAAGCAAATACTTAAAATAGAGCATAGCTCTGATCAGTATTGACCAAGTACCATATTCACACCACATTAAAACTGAGAAAAAAATTCTGAAAAGTGAGGCTAAATATCCTCCAACCCAACTGTGGTCTCAATTGCCACCCTATGCAAGAATGCAGAAGTGCAATGGCTGGATCACTAAATACTGCAGAAGTCAGCATATTTTTGGGAAGGAAAAAAAAAACCTGCCATCTTCTGTTTACGGTAAGTACAGCAGAGAACAGAAGCACGGGAGAAACTAATACAGAGTCACCAGTGTGGTTTGCTCTTTAAAAGTAATGTGAATAGAACAATTTCTAGAAGAAAAGCACTGGTCACTGAAGTAATTACTTTCAAATCAGTGCTGAAAAGGGAACATACATGATAAATACAATTATTCTATCTGGTTAGGGTGAATTGAATTATCGAAGTAGGATAGATCATCACACATTAGTTGTAACAGATTTAAGAGGAATGAAAGTATGTAACAGAAAGTCATTAAATCACAACATTCTGACATGCACATAGACATAGATGCAATTGCAACTTTTCTTTGGTTCTTTTTGAGATCCATAAAGAGTGTCGAGCATGTTATGCTTTCTAGCCACTCACCAGAATTTACAGTCCTTTTATATTTAGCATTGAAAGCTCATCCCAACAGAGTGACTCCTCACTCTCACTTTTACAGGCTCTGTTTGTCCTATCCATAACTACAGCACAGACAACTCCATTAATGTGTACAACCAGTGCAGTGAGCTACACATTGGCAACCACGTAATAATTTCAGGAAGGATTTGGAAACATGCACTTATCAGAAAACAGAAACATCCTCTCAGATTTTAGCACCCATTTGATTTAATATAAATACAATATATACACTTTGCAGACTTGTGTTAACACAGCATTTGTTTCAGCTCATAGTGAACTACATAGCTAGTGTTATCCAGCTCTCTTCATCAACCAAACCACGCTTTGCCGGTAAAGCACCTACATGCTGGGTGCTCATACAACCTTTGTTTAGGTATCAAACTTCAACTACAGTTTCATGTGAATTTTTGACAGCATGCTGCAGAAATCTGCTCAGCTGTTCAAATAAACCAAAGATTTCCACATTCTCAAGCACCACTGGAACACCTGGCTCTCGCCATAATCCTGTGCTCTGAACTGCATTAAGTCACTTGCTGGAAGGAAACAATACAAAAAGTCTACGTAGGCTGTACCTCACTAAGGAGGCAGGAGGATGAGTATTTGCATCATGTGACAAAATATGAGGAGAAAAAAAAAGGTACAAGTACTGAGGGCCTTAGCTCCCAGTCCATTTTAACTTCCACCAATCCACAGTAATTGCTGCCATACAAGTCTACACTGTATTTAGACACCATCACCTATAATATCCAAAGATTCAATTTGCATTTTAGACAGCCAGTGATGACAAGAGACAAAGCCAGATTCTTCTAAGTGACAGGACAAGAGGCAGTGGGCACAAATTGAAATAAAGGATATTCTATCCAGAAGAAGAAAAAGAACCCCCACTTTTGTTTATCATAAGGGTGCTCAAACACCAGAACAGGTTGCCAAGAGAGGTTGTGGAATCTCAGTCCTGGAAAATGCATGAAACCCAGCTAGACACAGTGCAGGGAAACTTGCTCCAGTTCACTCTTCTTTGAGCATGGGGTTTGGACCAGATGATCTTCAGAGGTCCTTTCTACACCCAAACATTCTATGATTCTATTAGATTAGACCTTGCAAGTCACACTGCTAACAGGACCTAACAACTACTTTTTCTCTATTTTGATGGCCCCAAACAGTTCTGACAAAAACAAGATACTCAGATAGAACTCACAATAGAAAAATTGCTACTTCTGAAATTTCTGATTAATACTGCAAATGCTTTTGCTGCTTTGGAGTAGCACTTAAGTTATATCAAATGTAAGTGTATTTAACTGCACTTACTGCAATGTCCAAAATGAACATGAAAAGCTTTCTTCTTAGACTGCATATATTTACTATACATTACTCTGATGTGAACAGCAGACATTTTATCTCTGAATACACAATTTTTAATTTCACAGCTCTGAACTGGTGAGATACCGTTCTTCCTTTTTCAAAGAATGGTTTAGTGTCAGCACTATCACTTGAGGAAAAGATTCAAAATTTTATATAGGAAGAGTATTTCTGAACAACATCCAAATGAATTATATTTTGTACATTTTTATACAAAGTACTTTAGAGATCCTGGCATGATATATTCCTGTCATTTTGTTTTCAGAACAGAACTGATAATCTCACGATCCCTCAGCTGTTAAGGGAAATTAAACCACTGTTTAAATAAACCGTTAGTAAATGAAATCCCTGAATTCTTTCGGCATTCTTTTGGGGATTCGGAACTCTAATCAAAATAAGACAAGCTCAGCTGGATTGCTGTGAATCAGACTGGGTCTGTATCCTCTCTTGGCATATGGCATGTACTTATAGTTTACTTTAATAGGAAGCTGTGATGATAGAAAATGAAGAAGAGAACATGTATCTTTGATTGAGACCACCAGCATCACCAACAGCTAATTACTGAGACAAACAAGGTCACATTTCAGGAACATAAAAGGCCATATTTGGATTCCCATTATTGCAAGTAATATACTTGCAGACATTTATGAGGACGTTCAAGTTCAAAAGAATAAAACATCTGAAAGTGCCTTCATTCAACAAATTCATGGCTACCAGACTGGCTTCAATTCCCCACTGGAAAGACATAATTGTAATACCTAAGACCAGGAAAGGATGGTTAATTCTATTGTCATGTCTCTGAAGAGAAAAATGTAGTTGAAACTATGAAAGAAGAATGTTATTTTAATGCTTAGTGTTACAATTGTTAAGTCCTTCTCTCTGCAAAAACTTTTTCTTGATACCTGATGGGCGTAAACAAAGCTTGCAAGGCATGCATAAAACTCATAATTTTCCTACATTAATTTTTCTAACTACATAGTTGCATAAGGAATCCATCTGCTTATAGATGATATATTAATATTAATACATCACTTACCAGCACACCATAGATTTCTTAAAAACAAGTAATAAAACCAATGACAAAATTGCTTTGAAAATACCTGATATTTGAAAAAAATTTATTAACAGGGATAATCTTCTCCATGTTCTTTAAAATCAAGTTCCTAATTTATCCTGTCTGAAAGGCACCATAGGGACATAGTGAGTGGTGAACAGTAAACGTCCCATTGGCATTTTTCATACCTGGGGAATTCATCTGTCTCTGAGAAAATCCAAATGAAATGTGAACAACAAGATATACAAATAGGAGATAATTTGTAGCTGCATAGGCATGAAACCTCTAATTTCCATGCTATCGTGGCATCTTAGGCACATTCCTGTCAGAAGTTTCTTCAATAAAATTAGCTTTTTTATGGGAAGGTTCAGCAAGATCTTCTCCATGGTCTTTGTTATTCAAGCACTCCTGGTCTTCCTTCTTGCGTTTGTTAATCAGGTGATTTTCTCCCTCACACAGCTTTCCCTCTGGAACACCCAATGTTCTCAGACAGACAATAGCTGCAGCCTGTTCTGCTAGTTTCTTGGACTTGTCCCTGAAGAGCAAGCAGACAGAGCACAGGTAAAAGAAGAAACTGAAGTCTCTACACTGCCAAGAGAATTTCCTGTCTCTGATGCAACATCATAAACAAAGAGCATTTGTAGTCATCTCATAGCAGAAGAACAAAATAGGTCAGTTCCAGAAATTATTTGAATCTTGCTAGGTGTCAAGTGTTGATGCATCACTCCTGATGTAATATTCCTTGAAAATTTGTTTCTATCAGGTCTTGTGCCTCAAACACTCTCCATTTCAAAGGTACAAAGTCAATGTGTGTTTGGCCCAAGTGGTCACAATCCTCAGAAAGTTAACTTTTACAAATCTGATCACTAAACAAAACTAACTGGGTTATGAAGGATCACTTTTCTTGAAAGAGACTCAGGCTTAAATATACTGTGGCAGGCGAACAAGTTCATTGACGCTGACAAAAGTAGGAACTGTCCCGTAATAATAAAAATTCTATCATTTCTGCAGATCACCCATTTGTGAGATTCAGTATTTGAAAACATTTTCTTCTCAAAGTTTCATATCAGCTGAGCTTAACTTCCTAAAGTCTCTGAATAGAAAGGTTGCAAGGCAGCAATTGTTGTGTGCGTTTGTCCTCTTTAAAATGTTCAATGTGCAGTTAAATCAAGATCACCTTAGGTGTAAATACCTCAAGTCAACTCCAGTATTAATGGATGATTGTACAGGATAGCATTGTGAAACATTAGAGCAGCCCTGGATGTAACTGCTAATGAACTGTGATCCCCAAGAAGCCACTGCACTGTCCTCTCCTTCACTATGTGTAGACACTTAATCCTGATTTCTTTTTGGGAACGGATCTGCTGTGGTGGTTGAAGACACTTCCCCCTAAACATTCCCCTCTGCCTCCTTTGGTTAGTTTCTGAACTCAACACATACAGAACTGAACTGTGTCACCTATTTGCACCCCTTCCAATAGAACTTGTGGACTAACACACAAAGTGAATTAAAATCGGTAACCATTTACTTGATTACACTAATGCTTACTTCCTCTCGTCACAGTCAATTCTCAGAAATTTTTAAACCTTTCTCCCTCCTAGAGGTAGCTTTAGAACATAGTTTTTAGTTGACCTATATCAAAGTCAACTGGAATAGACCGGAGTGCCCTTTTAATGCAAGTTTCTTAATATTGCAAGTATTTTAAGCAACATTTCAAAAACAAAAATCCAGCTGGAAAAACCATTAAGGACAGCTTACCATAGAGTTGATCGGTATTTTCGCTCAGCTACTGTCACTACTGAACAGAATAACCTATCCAATGGTCTTTGAACCTGTGGGAAAAAAAAATTAAAAGGGAGGGGGGGTATCAAAAAGCAGTCATGTCATTTACAGAAGAAACAACATCATCAAGATTCTTTGATAAGTGTAGAGACAAGAACAACAAGTAACAGCTTTAAAATTACTGTAATTCACACCACAAATTTAACCTTACATATTTAACAGTAAAATATAAGAAGAAATTGTCCAAACTGCAAGTATTTTGCTTTGCAAAAATAAAAAATAATCAAATAATGCCTTCATCTAACAAAAAAGTTGCTCCTGTCCCATACAGTTCCTACCCATAACCATGTGCAACAACAGAGAAAACATTCCAAGTCTAAATTCTTTACTTCACAGAAGTAGTAAAAGAAAGTCAGTCATCAGCTTCTACATAATGACCTGTAGTTACAGCAACTTCTTTCACACGTGAATCAAAACCAGATGGAAGGTCTGACTTTTTTTATTTTCAAATAAAATAAGCTACTATTTTCATACCTATGAGTGTTAACATTTCTGAAGCTGCTTCCTCAAGGAGCTATGCCAGACTGGGAAGTAGAATTTCCTCACTACCTTGAGTCCTAAAATACCTAATTTCATAGACAAGGCAGAGGAAGTTTTTAAAGAGTTTCTTCATTGACTCACAGTTTCATAAACAGGCTGAGGATGCTTTTCTTTCCTACACCATTCCAGAAGACACATTTTTGGAGTAATCTGTGGTGGATATTCTCGCCTAGACACAAAAATTTGTGGTCAACAACTGTGCACAAAGTTCTATTTTAAAACAGACAGTGCTGCTTATTATATTACTTCTACCAGTTATTTGAGGTTTAACTTTACAGCTCAAATTATGAGAAAAATGCTGTTTCCTCATTAGATAACTCAAGTAACAGTAAGCCTGGAACTAAAGAACATCTTACAACAGACAAATTGCACAGGAAGAGTGATGATTATGTAATGATGTACATGTATTGCCTCATAAAAACTCACTCGGTAAGTGCTGGTTTGCAAATAATTATTTTCAAAAACTGTCAGGCACTGTCAAACTCACAGTTGCTACTCACAGATGCAAGATAGTGAAAAACTTAATTTGTGTGCTTACTTGTCAAATCTAACAGTCATTTTTATTACATCTGGATCATCTACTTGGTCATCTTCATCTTGTGTCTCAGTTTCTAAAGACATTTTCTTTGCTTCAAAAATAGCTCTTGTTTCTTCATAGAAGTCACCCATTTCAAAGACTTCACTGTTCAAACAGAATTCCTTCATATTAGAGATCGGTTTATGAATTTTTGTATCACATTATGGTAGAGAAAAATAAATACAGAAATCAATTGTGATTAAAGAGAGTATATGTGTATGGAGAATCAAATGAAAGCGTGGCTATATTCTGCAAAGTGACATTATATAGTTTCTCTTTCAATTCTTATCAGACACTGTTGTGATACCAGCACTACATATGCAATTTGCAGCCTGAAAGTCCAGGCAGAATCAATCGGAAATACAGGTCTTGCAATGTCCAAGTTATTAGCTCAATCAGTAACTTGCAGGTGGATGAATTGGCAAAAAACATCTCCGTGTGACTCCTGGTGGATCAGCTCCACAAGGGCAATATGAGCAAGAAGTAAGAAAGAGATGCTTTTTCTAATTATAGTATTTAAAAATACCATAAGCAATAAACACTATAACATCCAAAACCCTCAAAATCTCAGATTTTCTGGCATCAGAATATTATTCACAAGTGTAAATATAAGGGAGGAAGCCGTCAGGATTTGAGTCAAAGGTAGGATTCTCAAGTCCTTTTAAATTTCAGATCCAGGGCAAGCTGGATCTACTCTGTAAAACTGAGACTATTAATTTTCTGCAGATAATAACAGCAATAAAACCTGCAGCACAAGAAAACTTTTACTTTCTGACTGTTATGAGAACCCTCTTTGGTACGGGGCTGTTCAATGGTAAAATGAACACTGGCCACAAAGCCATCTCCAACGCTCCAAGAGGAAAAGCAAAGAAGTTGAACAATGTTATCTTACACTTCTAAGAGAAGGCAATTTATTATGTACTGGTATGTAAATGTTTAGTCCAAAATGCAGCCCCTGTTCTCTTGCATTCAGTACTGAGGTTAAACCTCGCATGGCTGTAACGTGCCCTCACCACCAGGAGAGAGTACCATTTTTGTCTGAAGATGCACAGGTGCATTTTAACTAACAGAATGCTCTTCAGTTACCTGGACATGAAGCAGGCTATTCAGAACAGGGCTTAAAGGACCGAGTCTGTTGACAGAAAGCAGTTTCAAAAATTTTCAAGTGTCTGTCCCCCTCTCATGCACACTGCTTAAGCCAAGTTTGAAGTTGGTATTGCCTTACATGTACAAAACCTGACAAAGTTCAATTTTGGAAGCTCCTAAAGAATTGTCAGGCACAGCACATAAACCCAAAAGTTTTACACTAGATCTCTATCCAGTGTTTATGTGTATAAACTGTGACACTTCTAATTACCTGTTTAAAGGCTTGACTCTCACTCTACAATTTCTTTTCTTTACATACTATGAACTACTGTTCATGCACCACCCTGTTGGCTAGGAATTATGTGAAGTTGTAAAAGATTGTTTCAGTTTCAATCTATATTATCTATCTTTTTTTCAAATTGGAAATCTACAATCAAAATAGATAGTGTGTTACCATATTAAAAAGTTTTCAACTCTTTACATTGCCAAAGTGAAAAGTAACTTGCAAAGTTTAAAAGTTGTTCCTGGATTCCACTGCTCCTTTATGACTAAGGGAGGATAGCTCCTTTTATCTATGAAATACAAATTCCCTTCATTGTATTGAAATGTAATAATCACGGACAGAAGTATTTATAGAAAGCCAAAACTGGTAAAAGGCAATAAACTGGCAAAAAGATTGCAGTCATTTCCACTAATTTTGAACACGAAGAGAATGTTGACGGGGGTTTGTGAGAAAACAATAAATTCGTTTACAAAATATTTCAAGCTTTCAACACTTCTATCCATTTTCATACACATAAGATATCAAACAGTTTCAGACTGTTTACAAGAACAAGGAGTCTCTTCCCCTCCATTCCATCAGAAGTAAAATTATATCACACTACATGGATATCACACATGCAAGCTCAGACCTTTATTTTGGGATGGTTCAGTTTGGGATGGTTCCAAACCTGAATTCCCCTAATTCTGTGTGAATTCTTAAATTCCATGCTTATTTTATGGTTTCTCACAAAGTTTTCCTTCTTCCTTTTCTGTTCTCCCCTTTGAGAAATTTCATCCAGACTGTTTCAGATGTCCAGGATGACAAGATTCATTAAAGCTACTATATTTCCTCAAAAAAGCTGTCATTATTCATTAATATATTCCAGGTATGAAAAGCAGCACAAAAGAAATACCTTGAAGTACCACACAGACAACCCTCATACATTATTTTGAGTTTATCTCTAAGTGTTCATTTAAAATAAACATGTGGCTGTAAATATTCCAGTAACATTAAAAACCCCACATGCAAGAGGCAAAATTAAAACCAATAAATATCCTTGGAAGGAGACAAGCTCCACACTATTAACCTCCAGACTGACACTAGAGAATGCTGAAACTTTTCTTGATCAGTTAATGTAAATATTGAATAAATGCCTGTCACTCAGTGAAGCACCAATCAAATTAGTATTTTAGTTGAAATTAGTTGAATATTTCAGGGTTAAAAAGATTTAAAATCTGAGTATGAAGGAAACCTGGAAAATTTACTGTGTTATTTCACATCTTACTAACTGGATTTTTTTTGTTTGTACATTTTTAGGGGGTTTGCAACTTCTGAAGGTATGAAATGCCAGGCAGTGCTACAGACAGAGAAGTGATGTGCAAGTTTAACAGAGAGTATAATTCCTGTGTTTGAAGCACAAGCTTACCAGATCTCCTGTGTGGACTGTGCAGCATGTAGCTTCTTACCCTGAGCAGTTTCCAACTGTTCTCTTAACATCTGACACAAACAGTATTTTGTGTTGGTATAGTGATTATCGTATCTCACTGCCTGAAGGAGAGACACAAAGCATTTAAAAACACACCTAACAAATTTATCTTATATTGTGCTTATGTCTCTTGATAACTTTCAAAATCATTTTTGAAAGGCAAATCACAGTGCAGTTTCCTCGATAACATATTCAACACCACTATGAATGTGACTATAATCTGATTATTTTGGCATGACTTCATGAACAAAAATTCAACTTATTCATATACTCGTGAAGAAAGAGTTGACCAGTTTACGTCACCAACTAGCAATGCACTGTTATTTTAGTAAGTAACTGGTAAATGGCAAGTTTGAATTTTTAAAAACCAAATCATTTTGAATTAATGACATGATCGAAGCTACAGATTTCTGATTAATTTCCTATTACATCCTTAAAATAGTGTCTTTTGAATAACAGATAAAACTTTATATACCAGGTGACTCAGCTAAGAGAGTTACAGTACTACAATACAGCATTACTTTATTGGCAAATCATTCCCTTTGCTTCCTTGCTGTGAATAATTATTGACAATATTTGTGAAAAGTAATTAATTTCTAAAAATGAATCTAGCAGAAACTATTTCATATTCCTTCACTTTTCTGTTCAATACTGTATGCTGTATATAATAATCTGTTCAATTTGTACATTTGTAACTTCAAAAGAGCTGGTCTACATATTCTTCTTAAATTTCTAGACATTTTTAGATAGCCTTGTAAATGTCATAAATGTTCCCAAGAAACTAGGGCTAAAAAGCATGGTACAGAAGAAAAGAATGATCAAGAAAAACTGAATACAGATTTCTGAACTTTTGTTTTCTGAACAAAGTCAAACAGAAGAAGCAGTGGTTGATCTGAAAGACTCATGTCATATGCATTAAGTTAAAACATCCCCAAACTAAGTCTTTGAAATGACAAGGAGTTAAGACACTCCAGGAAGATTTGGATTAACAATTCTAAACAATTTTAACAAGTGAGATCTTAAAAAAACTCGTACATATTTAAGGTAATCTTGCATGACATCCTTCAAGGGGAAAAACCCCTCTTTTCTGAAGATAGATGGGTTCCACATGGCAGCACGAGCTATCATTACTGATGAGGCAGCTGTTGCTTTCTGGAAGGTCTCTATGTCCATATATTCTTTGATGAAGTCATGAGATCCTCCACTAAAAATTAACAACACTGTTTTAATTAATCACGGATCTTTTTCCAGCATCTGGACATAACGAGCTACTTTGTCCAACTTACTTTGCTATTACTGGAATGGAGACGGCTTCACATATGGCCTTGATCACATCACAGTGCACAGGGTGCTGAGGCCTCTCCTCCTTATTTCTGTCCAACAAACAAAAGAAAGACAAGACCAAAGATTTCCTGTGGAATTTGTAGATCTCTAAATCACAGCAGACATGACACAAGGAGTATTGGGATATATTTGTTTCCACTTATTTATTTCATATATTCGATATAATTTCCTGCTGTTTCTTTAAATGCAAAATTATTTCCTATCAAACACATTTTAAGATATTGTTACTGTAATTCCATATCCAGATAAGCAGCATTTTTTAGATACAGAGTATGCAGATAATTTTAGGTTTATTTGGTCTTTGAGACAAAAATTTTCAGAAAACAGCAGCAAGCAGTACAATTCCCTAATTGGTGGCCTGATTTTCTACAACACCAGTTCAGTTAACGGTTGAAATCAGAACCATGTACTACATCTAGCATGTAGAGAATACTCTAGTCATATCATATTGTGCTCTGTTCATCAACAAACTAAAAAATCTAAGTATTTCTTGCCTAAAATCAATTTACCTCCCATGGACTGCAATGGCAGCAATACCAGTTTTTTCTATTCTCTTCACCAGATTCACAGTATCTTCAACCTGAGGGATAAGACAGAATGACAAGATTTTAATTCAAAGCAAAAGGAATAACCATCATGCAATTATTGTACAGACAAATGCTGGAAGTCTTTTCTTTCCTCAAGAGGAATGTGATTCCTGTATTTCATCAATAACACCCAACACGCATAACCATTTAATATATACTTCAATTTAAGAACTACGTACTACGCCAAAAATAAGAATCCATTTTCAATGCCTCCTTGAAACCATAGATTGCAAACTTTCTCAAATCAGGTAACATAATACTCTGTGGCAGAAGAATATTTTCCAGTAAGTTTATGGACTGTCATTTGAAAATGATATAGAACATTTGATTAGCAAGTCCTCTCTAATGACTACCCTGTAAATTGTAATTAAAATGCTTTTCAGTAAGAGGATACCTTCTGAAATGAACGTAACATGCAATCACACATCTATAAACATCCCTCTCAGATATATATGTCTTAAAAATGTTAACCAGTATCTAAAAAATTCTAATGATATTCATACATGACCAATGAATCAAAAGACCCAGTGGGAAAAAGGGGAAGCTCCCAGTCTATCTTCAAAGAAGTAAGATGCTCTTTAAAGGCAGAAAGAAATGTGGCACACTGCTGCATTAGCCTGTCTTATGCAGCTTTGGGGAAAGGGAGAATGAAAAAAAGATAAATTTTCTTTTCAAAATCTGGAGAAACATCTGTAGGTCATCCCAAAAACAGCAGATTCAGTTTCTGAAAAATGTAACATCTCCAAGCTGGCATGGACACAGAGAGAGCAGCTCACCTGCTGTTCTGATGGATGACATGTTACGCAGAAACAGCTTGAAACAAAAAGGAAGAGGCTCTAGGATAGTTGTAGAAAATAAAAAGGAGAGGTGCCGGTTCTCTGATTTAATACTTCAGTACTTCAGAACCAAAATCATCTTAGACGGGGTTTTTTATTCTTTTCCCACAGGCTTCAGTTGTTCATCTAACCTTTTTAAGTGCACATGTAAATGATTTCTGAACAATAGCTGGTTCAGGTACAGTTCATTCATCTACCAAAGTATCTATTCAGGTCATATGCAATCGCAGTATCTAGGCAGGTAATAAAATAAATAGTGGCAAAATAATCAGTCATTATTAAAGAGAAGGCCCATCATCCCTTGGAGGTTTAAAAATATGTAGGGAATTCAACTGCAAAAAAAAAAATCCAGTAAGGAAGCTACATGAGCTGTAAATGAACTCTGGAAAACAGGGAAAACATCCTGTACAAGAAAGAATCTGTAACTCCATTGGTTGTTCTAACTGCAAGAACAGAAAAACAGTCTGGAAAAAAAAATTAGTCTGAAAAACCAGAAAATAATCATCTATTGGCTTCCCTGGTTGAAAAATAGGAATTAACAACAGCTACTGGCTGCTCGAGAGGTGGTGTCCTACACTCTCTTGTATCTCTATGACTTAAAAATCACTTAGTTGAAAAATTTTGAGGATAAAAGCCTCTGTGTCCTTGCATATCATGGAATCTGACAAGCCCACAATCACAGTCTCTATACATTTTGTGGGTCAGATAACCCTTTAGCCTGGGACAGCATTCCAAACAGAAATTATAACCCCAAGCACTATTTCACAACAGGCCTAAAATGACAACATATGAGAACGCATATATTATAACTGATATTAAATCACCAAAATAAACAACAACTTAACACTTCAGCATAATGATTTAGGTTCTTACTGAGGGCAAAATGCGGATTTTGCAGGTTACCGGTTTACAAACTCCTTTAACAAGGGCAGTCAATATCTGGAAAAAGGAAGAAAAAGACAAAAATGTGATCACAACAGTGACATTACTAAAGCTCTCCTCCTTTCTCTCTTGAAGATAAAAGAAATTAGAACTATTCTTCTATAAAAAAATCTCACATTCTAGACAGACACATTCAATCTGTAATTGAACATATCATTTTATCCAACAGATATAAAAACCTATTTCTAGTCTAAGCCATTTTTATTTCCATTTTTTTTATTTCAACTTTTTTCAATTTACAGAGCAATTAATTGCTGCTGGAGTTTTCAACACTGCTTTTAGTATGAGGTGACCTGTGAACTAATAATTTCAAAATAAAGTGCAAAGGTTTTTCATTTTCATGCAGCTGTTTTCACCATCATCTTATATTCCAGTTGTGAGTTTCTCATAAAAACTAAATGTAAGTATTCCCTAAAAAGAGATTTTTATTTAAAAATAAGAAAGCCTTCAAAATGGAAAAAAAATTTGGGGAATTTCAAGCTACACCATTGAATCTTCTTAAGGAAAGCAAACTGAATTCCATGCTTAACACAAAGCACATTTTATTCATTACAACAAACTTGGAACAATCAGGCAAATGAGTGGTTGTTAGTCTAATAATTTAAAAACCAAGCTATGCAAAGAATCTCCTTTTCACAGCTTGAATTTAAGTCCAACAGACCTTACTTAAAAGTGCCATGTAATGGCCTATACACGTTTAAATCACTGTATGACTATACAGTAACCAATAGGTCTCTAAATAAAGGAGTGGAAGCAAGCTGATCTTGACTGCTATTGGGAAAAAAACCTTCTTTTTCAACCGTTTTTCTCAGATATTATCATGCATGTTATTCTTACATAAAATGGATGGAACTGCAAATAAATGCTTTCAGGATGGTGTATCCTATGAACTTGAATTTTGTTTAATGTTACTGCACTTATTAGGTTCCCAATACAGATATGAGCTGTTATAGCTGCACTCAAGTTCTTGTACTTAAAACAGCTGGCAATTTCTGTCACCTTGCACTGGCTACTCAAACCTTTCCTCAGTAGTGTTTTCTCAAAATAAACAGCAGCATCCAAGAAAATTATCTAAAAAACTCCTCTCTTTAGTATTTTCAAGTTGTATTTTTTGGATATAAATCAAACTAAAATGACATAATTTTCAAACATTGTCACTACATTTTTTTACAATAGCACCATAAGCAAATCTTAAAAGTTTTCTGTGTCAGCCTCATTAAAGATTCCAATGTGAGAACCAAATCATTTTTAATCACATGGTAAGCTTGATCTGGAGCTGTAGTTTCAGTTGCCTTTTGCAGGCTATGAGTTCAGTTATCCCTCGCAGTTTGCTAAGAGTAATTTTAATGCCTAAGATTTTGCTGCCTATTAACATCTTCAATTGAAAAGAACAATTCCAAATTTTTGAGCATCGAGTTTCCCACTCTTCTAAAGATCAGAACAAAATGTAATGGTTGTAGAGGGGAAGGGAAGCTGTTAGCAATCATATTTACAACTGCCTCTCATTTCCGTGAAAGATATTTTTGCAATATTTAGTTCTAGCTTGCTCAATATTTTCCTCTCAATTCCCACTCTGAAATTTATTTTCTTTCAGCTATCATCACCTTATGCTTCACAAATTACCTTTTCATTCTGGATGGTATCATCCACATTACTTAATTCATGGAAAACCATATAGGCCTCGAAAAAATTGGCTCAAAAAAATTTGTCTTCTATGCAACTCAATCTTGCTTCCAGTAGAGGACAGTGCACAATACTTTCCAAGCAGTTCAAAGGCCACAAGGTGATACTTACAGACTCTATTTTGTCAGGATCAGATAGCAGTGCTGCTCCCATCCCTCCCTGGGAAAATATACAGAAACTGTTACACACTAGGCAAACACATTTTTCAACTCAATTAAATTGCCTAATAGCAGACCAGCACAAAAGTGTAATGTTATATTAAGGGGGGGGAGAGAAATAAAAGACAGAAAAAGTGGTAAAATTGAAAATACAGGAGCATTTGTGAACACTTTGGTGCAACATTTGCTAGAATTGTATCGAAATAACTAAGCAGTAATTCGGGGCACCAATTTGCTCTCATTACTTTATGGAGCAGACAGGATTTCAAAAAGCTATTTTTAGCAACTGTAATCATCTAGTTTCTTCTCATTAAGTGACACCTGAACAGATTTATTGTTTTAACAGACCACGTATTCCATATCTCCAAGAAAGAAAAAGCTTATTTAAGAGTAATCAAAATCCACTTGCCTTAGTAGAGTATTCTTTTGGGCATCCCATGTTGATATCAATACCAGCCACATCACTCTCTCTGAAAAAGAAGAAGGAAACAAATATTTTTCAGCACATTAGAACAAGAATCAGGAAATAGATATCTTTCCAGGTAACTTGTTCCATCATCATTAAGGCTTAAATGAGAACTTAAGGTGGTTCTTATTTGAATTTCTGAATTTTTAGCTTCTCACTTGCATACATACAACTTGCATACATACATTTTAACAGGGATCTGAAGATCAGTCTTTCTACAGGTTTCAATTACCAATGCTGTGCAGAAGCTGCAAGTACTTATCTTAAATATGTTTATATACGATTAAGTACATATAGTATATATATTATATATAAGTATATCCATCACTAATCCACCACTGTCGCTAAAGCAAGTCCTACTGAAACTTCTATCTATTTAAAATTAAGGCTTCAAAACACCTTTTTGAGAGCCCCTTTTCATTTCTACACAATACATTATCGGAGGCTTTAAACCACAAACAGTAGGAGACATTTTTCAGGCATACTGATCTTACTTGCAGCTGTGCAATACCCAGGGAAATTTCATGCTAGGGAGATCAAGGGCACACTCACACCAGCAAAAAGCCATCAATACCAGTACAGAATTTATGCAGCTGCTGCTTTGAGCAAGAATTATTTTAAGTAGAAGCTGCAGCTACATCGTTACACCACTGGCCTTCTCAGAAGCTACACTTCACTGTGTAGCTCCTACAGAACTTTTCCTGATTCTACGAAGACCAGCTTTTAACCTCTCAATCATAAAAAACTGTCTTCCACAGTAATTCCTCTGAACAAAAAATCCCAAATAAACCCGTGGTGGAAATGAGATGGACAACTTACACAAGCTTAGCTACTGCCAGGGCTCTCTCAGCATCTGCTGAACCCTGTTGGTAGAACAAGAGGATGTATAATTACAAAGTATCACAAATTAATTAAAAAAAGGAAGTGCTCACTTGCACATGTGTACAACTATATTTGCTCTAACATTTAGTGTAGACAGAGACCCACTCATCACAGAACACTGGACAGTTAAAATATTTAGCTAAAGCATGGCCTAGACTCAGCTACTGAATGACAAAAGGTAATGCAAAAAAAGGATTCTAAGAGGTCTGTCCACCTCCTTTACCTACAGCAATATCAAATGTTCTTAGCCCATCAGCACTAAGATATCTATTTTCCATGTTCTTAAGAAGCTTCACTAATAATTCTACAGCCTCCAGCAACCGATTTCAGGGCTACCATTACCACTGAAAAAGGTCTTTTCAGCATTTAATACAGTCCACACTTCTCCTTCCCTCCAATCCCATCATCATCTGTCCTACACAAAGTGGTCTCTAAAAGCAAATTAATATCCTTGTCTCTCCAGCAGCCTTTAATCCATTTGTGCAATGCTAGTGCACACATTAATCCTCTCTTATCTATACTAAACAATGCTATTTCTTTCAGCCTTTCCAGTGAGACTGTTTCAAAGGACAGTATAAGATTTAAACATGTGATCAAACAATTTATTTTTGGCATCTATGTTTGGAAAAAAATCAAAGATATTTATTACAAAAACAAGCTGCTGTCACAGAGCACAATTCATCTTCATCACCTCTTCTGAAAACAGCTGTAAGGAGAGTTTACAATGTAGCATCTCCTTGGATATGTACCAACAGATCAGAAACTCTCTAACACATTTGGTGTGAAGGTTTACCTCCATCTGAAGCATCAAGAAATTGCCAGTCTGCAATACTGAGAGGTGCTTTAGACTTAGATCAACATGTTACTAGCACTGCCTTGTTTAACCATGTTGTTAGCAGAGTACCTGCAGTTGGTTTCTTACCATTTGAAAGACGACACGTTGCCTCTCCCTTTCACAAGTTCTGAAAACAACTCTTTCATTAGGTGCAACAAAGTCCACCGTTTCAAGTACTTCTGCATGAAATGAGAAATGATAAAACAGACGAACATTATATACAAATGTAAACATAAAAAAGTCATAGGACTATGTAATTTGTATATAAATGAAATGCTATCAAAGAAGTCTTCCATGAAGAGCAGAACTAATGGCAGCCTACCTCCTATATGTCCTTGCAGTACATTTCTTGCACATTGCTGTTTCCCTCCCAAAGTGCCCCTCAGCCTTGGACATCAGCACCAGAACAAGACCACTGATGACTCACCCAGAATGAACCTAATAGTACTATTTTTGGGAAAGGGCAGGAGGAGAGAGTAGACTTGCAGTGAACTTCTATTCCCCAACAAGGACACTGCAAACAACTGTTTCTATGTCACTCAGGCAGGGATGTCTCAGCATATAATTTTAAGAACTTGTGGTGACAATCATGTTAAACCAAGTCTACCCCATGGACTTCAAGTTAGTAAACAAATGATGAACAGTGAGACCTTGTATGTGTTGCTTCCTTATTGCATTACACTTGGAGGTGTGTATATTATAATGTCACGAACAGCTAACATTTAAAAAACCTCATGATTGGAAACTGTCTCTACTGTTGTCCAAACAAATTTGTTCCCTGGACATTATCAAACTTTAAAAAAAATTAAAAGGCTTTGTATCTAATATTAATAGTTTTACTCAGGAAATTAGATTTTATTTTAGCACAAACACACGTAAAATTTCTTTAAAAAAAATGCAAACACCACAAAACAACAACAAAAACAACCCCTAGAGTTTTTTACTGTTTACTCTTCATTACAATAGCATATGAAGGCAGTAGAGAGGCTGGAGCCAGTATGTAGATACAGAACTGAGGAAGATTAGGAAGTTTAGTTGTTCATTACAATTTTAGTCTTTGTCTTTCCACATAAAATGGAAAGCTTTAACATTTTAAACAATGCACTAGAACTTTAAAGTCCAGTCTATTCCAGCTACTAGTTTCTTTCACCTGGTGCCAGAAAGCACAATGCTGAAACATTAGCAATGCATTTCCAACATTGATCCCATTTTTCTTAAGAAAAAGAGAAATACACCATTCCAGGAGGTAAAATTACAGTTCTCCATTTTAGGAGGCAAATACTTACACACAGTGACCTGACCCTGTCAAAAAGTTCAAACAGAAAACTCATTGAATCCTTGTAATAAACTAAGCCAATGGTGGAGAAGGACCCTGTGCTAGGACTCTAAAAAGAATAACAAACTGTTTGTTACTAATACATTAGCTATGTCCTCCAAAAATGTTTATGGTTTTCCTGAGGGACACTAAATGAACTACTGAAATCCCTTTAGAAGGGAAACCAAAAGTTTGAAACTGTAGAGCAGCAGACAGGTCTAGGGTAGCACTTCAAAAGCTTACTTTAAGTCCCTAGACACAGTTCAGAGAGATTGCATGTTCTGGTACATCACTATAATCACTAGAAAAATATTTCAGAGAAGTAATTATCTTTTCTCTTGATTAGAAAAAAGACTGCTTACAGGTACTATCAAAAGAAATGCTATACTTGCCATTTATAACCCTCTTACATTGCAGCATCTTTATGTCAATCAGCTCCTGAGGAGGAAAGATAAAAAAACCTCAGTGAGTTGAAGTGTTTCAGCCAGCAAGCTCTAAAAAGTTGCCCATTTAATAATTAATTATCTAGAGAGACTAAATATAGAAAAAGAAAGCAAATTAAAACAAGAGTTTAATATACAACACGCTGAAGTTTCAAAATATTAACAGAACATAAGAATGTAAGAGTATTGAATCACAGAACAGTTTAGGCTGGAAGTACCTTAAGTTACAGAGCAGTCCTACCAACACGATCTGCAGCAAACCGGAGTCTCAATTTTAGCCAGCTTTGAGAAAAGCGGTTAAGCAAGAAGGACAGCGGTGCTGTGATGGGATATATACGGATGTACAAAACTAATCAGGTGAAACAGAAGGTCAGTCTAAAACTTCTATCAAAGTTCTGACTCTACTCCAAAAAAAATCAAAATAAAAATACTAAAAACAAACAAACAAAAAAACCCAAACAAAAAAAAAACCAAAAAAAACCCAAAACAAACAAACAAACAAAAAACCACCCAAAAAACCCAACAAAACCCAAATAACAGTACAATGGGAGGAAACTCTTATGGTGTTTTGTCTAAATGAACTTAGAGTATTGAATAGGCTTAAAATATATTTGCCATAACTTGAGAACTCTCAAAGAGAAATGCCTTAAGCCATAGAGATTCTTCTTTCTCCAATTTTTTAATCGACAAACATGTGCAATAAGAACAAGTCCTACAATAAACAGAGTCTAGTTTTCTTTTCTTAATAATAATGTTGAGCAGATAAGACTGCCTCATCTGCTCATCCTCCATACCTCACAGTACACGATATCAGCACCATAGTCCAGAGCAAGAAGGCGCATTGGCAACGTTCCCACTCGCACCATTGGAGCCAGGATCTTCTTTCCTCTAAAACACAGGGGTGGGTTCACCGTCATTCCTATTGCTGTACTACCTGAAAGAGAAAGCCAAGGAGGACAGCCATGGAACGTCGATTTCCTACCGGCAAAACGCCCAGATCTGTCCTTTGGCGGGAAGGGGCAGTGGGTGCCCCGTCATACCCGACAGGGCCCCCTCGGCAGCCGGTCCGGCCGCTCACCCAGCCGTGAGGGAGCCCAGCGGAACCGGGAGATGCTCCCCGCCACACGAGCTCTTTCCCCCGAGTGAGGGGCGCCGGGCCGTCTCCGCCACAGCCCCCCAGGGCCGCGTTTGCTCCCGC